CACAAACAGCATCTGCCTCTGTACTTGTGGGTGTCTGAATCCATTATTCTCGGAACAAATGCAGATTGAAGTCTGGGTTTCAGGTAACTAAAAAAATCCCAGAATGGTTTGGACTGGAAGGGACATTAAAGCTCATCTTGTTCCACCCCTGCCATGGCAGGGACTCCTGCCACTGTCCCAGGCTGCTCCAAGCCCTGTCCAGCCTGGCCTTGGGCACTTCCAGGGATCCAGGGGCAGCCCCAGCTGCTCTGGGCACCCTGTGCCAGGGCCTCATCGCCCTCACAGGGGAGAATTCCTTCCCAATATTTAATCTAATTCTACCCTTCATCTTAAGGCCATTCCTCCTTATCCTGTCCTTGTGAAAAGTCCTTCTCCAGCCTTTGTGGAAGGTCCCTTAGGTACTGGAAGGTGAGTTTTGGAAATGAGTCCCAGGTTAATGGTCTGGAGTTCCTCACAAACTCAGACCCCAGCCCAGGATTTGGTTTCCAAACACACCCAAAGTTGCTTTGGTCCTCTCTCTTAATTCCCATCATCTTTTCTTTCTCTCTTTATTTACTTAATTTCCTGCACCCCAAGCCCTGCTGAGCCCAGGCAGTGCCTCCATGGGATTGCACTCCACAGCCTTTCCCTGCTCAGGGAAAGGTCAGGGATGGAGGTTAGTGTGGCGAGAAGAAAGGCAGCAGCAGAGACAGAGAGCTCTCATAAAGGTCTGGCTGTGAGCCTCTCTGAGAAAATGTCAGCTTGGGGAGGCTGTAACAGCTTTAATCTGCAGTACAAGGGGATTAAAAGACTCGTTCTCACAGGACAAAAGGGAACGGAGGGAGCGGAAGGAGCAGGACAAGGGGAGAATGAAGCCTGCAAGGGGAGGAAAGGAGAAAGTTAAAGAGCTCAACTCCAAAGAGCATCGGGGCTTAAAGAGCTCCGGCTTGGAGTGTAATAAATGTGAAGTGGCCTGCACAGAAAAGGGGCTTTGGCCAATGGCTTGGCTTTGCTTTTTCACACTAAGCACACACACTCCAGAGGCTGCTTCAGGAGAGGCAACTTGTTATGTTTGGCTTTGTTGATTTTCAGGGGCAAAGGAGTAGGAGGGGGAAGCAGAAGGTTAATGAGGCTCTGCCAGATGCGGCACTCCAGAGGAGCAGTGGGCACTCTGTGTTTTAAACAGTGCTTTAGGGGCTTTGATCCTCACCCCTGCTGTCCCTCAAACCCTCCTTGTCCTCGAGGGCTGGGGTAGAGTGGAGGGCCCTGGGAACAGGAAGGAAATACGTGGAATTGCGGGACACTCTCCTCAAGTACTGCTTGAGCAACCTTTTCACCCGCTCAGCAAGGCAGGGAGAGGAAGAGTAGGACTGAAAGGGTAAGGGAAGAAGGGGACTTTAAATGCTTTTCAAAAGGAAATAAAGAAGAATACAACTTAATGCATCAGTGGCAGGAGATGTAAAGGCCAAGGAGCTGTGCTCCAGCAGGGAAACCAGGCACTCCAGACCTGCTCAGGTATTGCAGGAAATCTCAGGGCTGCTCTGCCTGATCAGCAAGGCTTGGACATGGCAAATACTCTTGAAGGCAGGAGAACTTTTCCCCTATAAGAGTTTTATTTTAGTCTCCTAAAATCTTTGAAGAAATGACAGGAGAGGAAGGTAAGACACCACTCACGAGCCCTGAGCTTCTTCCATGAACACACTCACCAGCCTCAGGAACTGGCAGAGGAGAAAAGCAGGTTTCCAGCAGGCACTGAATGAAATGAATGTAACAAGTTGTCATCTTCCACATTACCCACCTTCCCAGCCTTACACACCAGGAGAGGTGTGCCAGGAGAACACCAGGCACAATCAAATAAATGTCTAAGGCAGCTTTTCCCTGTTTTAACAGCTCAGTGCTGGGGTCTGGCTAGTACTCTGTGCATAAATTCTACTGAGAGGGGAAAAAAACCAACTTTGTAACATAATAAGCAAGTTCCAGACAGGAATTAAGGAGTATAGCATATCCAGCGGAGACAGGGGCTGCAGTGGCATTAAGGTAGGAAGAATATAATTACCTGACCTGGACTATGGCCAGGACAATGGTATTCATTTATTTCAACAAAGCCAGAAGTGCCAAAACCTGGATTTTCCATCTGAACCCAGAAGATGGCAAATCACAGCACCCTGATTTAATTCTTCCAACTTCTGGCTGGACAGAACGATCTTCCTGATAAAGGTGAAAAATTAACACCCACGATGGGAGAGCTGACCCTCAGCTTCATTTGGGAAGCCTGATGGCATCCCAGTGCCATTCCAGGATCCAGAGGTGATGCCTGCATCTCCCAGCACCCAGAACATCCTCCCACTGCCCCTGGTGCTCCTGCAGGCGGTGAAAGCACGCTCAGGCACGAATTCAGCTCCAAGCACAGCCCTGAGTTCGATCTGCTATTAATTATCCTGTTCTGCAGAGATAAATGCTTAATCCTCTGGCTGTTGACACTGGAAATGGCCCAATCTACCCCAGGGTGGATATTATCCCAGGGAACTTGGCTTCAGCTGTGATCCCACATCATGTGCTGTACAAATGTTCGCTGGCTTGCAGGGAATGCATTTCATAGGGTGCATGGGCTCCTTCCACAGCACAGCCAATCCAGAAAAATACATGACCCAGGCATTCATTCTATCAGGTTTTTCTTCCTTCCTCTTATTTTTTTTTTTTCCTTTGACATAATATTACAAATTTCATGTGGAATTCCTCATTTTCAGACATTCCCTATTTCCTCCCAGCTTACCAGCTTTCCTCCTCCAGCACTGAGAGCAAGGAAAGCTTCCTAAGCAGTGCTGCACAGGGGATGTGGAGATGGCTCTGCACAATCCCTGCTTCCAGGGGAGTCTTTCCCTGTTTGCCAGAAGGAAGGCAAATAATCCACATTGCTTCCCTGGTTTTAGACTCCCTGGAGAGCCTAAATCAAGGAGTTTGTGTCAGGGAGAAAGCAGCAAAGCTGATGGGGTGGGAAATTGCTCTGATTTCTGTTCAAGCTTTAAAGACTTCGGTTTTTCCCATGTCTGAGCAGCCCCAGTGTGTGCCAGGAGGGAAAACCTGTCCCACACCCACTGCCACTGCCCCAGCCAGGCATTTTGTGGCACCTGGGACACAAATCCTCCCCTTCCCACTCACACCCAGCCTCTTCCCCACTTGTTCTTCTCTTCCTGAGGAAGAGACCAAAGGCAAATTTTAGACTCTGACAGAGAAGTAAGTTTGAAATAAAGTATTATTGCACACAAGTACATGGGAGTGAAAGTTTGCTCCCCATTTAACAATGAAATGGGTTTTCCAGGCAGCACAATTCCACACAGACTCCAACAGCACCACAAATAGCTGAGACAAGGGGTTGAGTACAGGATATAGGACAGGGAATCAGTGCATGGCAGGACTTTTTTCCCCTAAAAACACAGTTAAACAGTTATTTAGCTTAGAGAAATGCCCTGGAGCTCTACACCACTGCACTCAGCCATACACAGGGCCAATCCCTGCTTCCAGGAAACTTCCAGTCAGCTGTGGGAAACTGAGGCAGTGGGAAAGGAAACACAAAATCAGCAAGTGGTGGGCTGGAGGCAGATCACACACAGCCAGAAGGACCTGGAGAGGGAGAGCTGAGCACCCACCTGAGGCAGGTACTGCTCTTTACCTAAGGTGACACAAGGCTGCAACTCTTTATCGAGATCAAATCTGGCTGCTCTCACCACCTGCTCTTTAGAGAAGTGGCTGGAGCCTTCTGCAAATTCCTTCTACAAATTCCTGCAGAAAAAAAGGAGCTTGCTGGGAATATGACACACTGTGTGAGCTGAAGTTTTTTTTGTCGACTTTATTTGTTTTACCAAAGAAGTTTTTCTAGTCTCAGTCCAATGGAAATAAACTTTCAGCCCACCTGAATGCAGAAGTTTGTATCTGCCACCATTGTGTTCAATTTAATCCCAAAATCACACAAGGAGAGAATGGGAATTTGAAGCCCAGCCAGTGAGAGCATGAGAAAGGGCTCAAACCCCTCATATCTGAGACAATAAAGGGGATTCTGGAGAGTAAAACAACCAATTTGCAATTCAAACTCCTTAGGTCTGTTCCCAAATCCTGTCTGCCTTGAGAGTGCACAGAAGTCACTCTCCTTTCCCTCTCTCTGTCCTAGCTCTTTGTACCTCAACACAGAGTGGGATGTTGCTGCTGGACAACCCCAAATCATCGCTGCACCAGCCCAGCAAAGCACCAGCTCCCAAACTGGCAGCAATCACAAACTGTTTTCACCTGGAGGACTGAATATTCAGTCATTTGCATCATTTCAGAGATGGGGGTTAAAAGCAGGGAGAATTTGGGCTTCCTGGCAATGGAGAAATGTCAGCTCATCCTTCCAGTGCCACATCCAGCGTGTGCAGGGACTGTTTTAGACTTTTGCTCTAACCTGGAGCTGGCATTGGATAATTTGCTCTCCATGATTCTCTTCAGCCAAACCTCTTTTTTTATTTATATATAACTTTTATATATTATCCTTAATCAATGACAGACCACAGTCCTGGTGCTCCACAGCCACACAATTAATTAGGAAGCAACAGCAAACAAGAGCATCAGGAATATCTGGGAAGTCACCAAGTGTAACAGGGCTCTGCTGCATCATCTCTGGCTGATGGGGCCTTGTCCCCCTCCTGGGGTGGGAAATGGAAACAGGAGGAAAAAGGAGGGAAACAGGAGCCTGGCAGTGACAGACAAGGTGAAGCAGCTGCTCCAAGCAGATATTTAAGGATATATCTGAGTCCTGCTTCCCAGACTGCTGCTTGGCCATTTGGGATTATCCCAAAGCAATCTCCACCTCAGCTTACTCTTATTTTCTTCTCCAAGCAGGTGGCCAATCCTCCATTCCATCTCCAACCCCTCCAACCATCTCCAAAGCCTCCCTGGAGAGAAATGGATCCAACAGTGATGCAGAATTGATTTTCTTCATGACATTCTGCCTGCTCTTGGGAATGTCCTTACAGCTCCCTAAAAATCTATTTGCTTGCAGCAAAATGATCCCTCCCTGTATTTTCACACAGCAGAAGCACAGAGGAGCTCACACTGTTGTGTATCCATTATTGAGCAGCTCCTTTGGGAAGAGCAGAGTAGGAATGTTGGAGTTAAAATGCCTTCTGTCCAAACACACCGTGGAGCATCCAGCTCCAAGAAACTGCAGGCATGCAGAACCAACTCTTCCATGGTTGTGAGAGATGAAAGCATCTGGTCCTGCAGCACAGACACTACACATGGTGTCTCCTTTGATCTGCAGAGAACACCTCCAGCAGCCACAGCCAGCACTGGTCAGCCCCTGTTTCTCCCAGAAAATACACCAAAGGTCACCAGACTGGTCTGTTGGCACACTCTGAGTCCTCCTGCACTCACAGGAACCTGATTGCTCAGCAACATTAAATGCTCACAAAACCACTCCAGTCTTGGACAACTTGGAGAAGCAGCTCCAAATCCACGTTCCATGACCTGAGCAGTTTCCCAGAGCCCTGCATGGAGCTGCAGCAGCAGCACCACAAAGCAAAGCCCAGTGACACAGCCATGAACAGCAGGGCTCAGGCAGTGCTCACAGGCCCTTGGCTGGGGTCTAACCCACTGCCTGTCCACGACACACACCCAGGATTCCCCCTGGGCTCAGGGTACTCATTCCTCTTCCACAGCTTCCTGAGCTGGAAGTAAATCATCCAGAGCTGATTTACTTGCTGTGTCCCACATGGGTCAGCTCCTTTTGTCCTGGGCCTTCCAGGTGACTGTCCTAGGGACTAAGAGGTGACTCAGAAAGCACAGTATAAGCGAATCCTGAAGTTCAGCCAAGCTACCACTCCTCCCCAGCCAGAGGAGAGTCTCTTTCCCAGGATCACAGCCTGCCTGCACCCTACTGTTCAGTGGAGAACTAGAGCAGTGGAAGAGAGAAGCAGCTGATCTGTGTCCCTAAGGCAGGGCAGCACCTTTGAGCCCTGCTCTCACCTCCAGGTATTTGGGCAGTTGGATGCTGAAGTTCAGGCCACATCTCCACACTCCATCCTTTCCCCATCTTCCTTCTGGCGATGTGGGTGGTGCAGAGCAGGCACAGGGCAGGCTGCTCAGACAGCAGGGACAGCACTGCACCTCCCTTCACCTGCAGAAACATTCATCAGCAAGATCCCACCACACCAACTCTCTCAGTGCCAGCTGGACCCCACAGCACAAAAGCAAATCTGCCTTCTCTGCCTGTAGATGTTAGAGATGTTCAGAAGGTTGGGACAAGGCCCTTGGGGTTTGTGGATCCTTCTCCAACTGGTCAGGCTGGTTCATTCCAGGCTCTCCATCAGGTCAGCAATGGAACAGATGCTGCACAACATCTTTGACCCCTCACTCTGGGTTTGATCCACCACCCAGCTGGAACAGAGAAGCCTGGAAGCAGCTTCATTTAGCACTGGCTGGAGAAATTCCTTACAAGAAGCTTCCAGGCACGTTCAATAAAGGCTGAAAATCCAGTCCCTCCATGCCTGTGGCACTTCTCCACTGCTGGGGCACCAGCCCTGGTTAAAGTGCTGGGACACCTTTGTCCAGGCCACTGCAGGCACACGGTGTGGCAGCTGTAGCCTCAGGCTCCTTCAGAACCAAGAACTCCAGCAGAATGTCCAGGAGGCAGAACACCAGGTGCCTGGAAAGGAGAAAAGACAAATCTCAGGCTGGTCAGGGTGTGGGAGGCAAAGCCCAGCACTAGGAAGGAGTGTTCCAGGGGAGAGAGAACAATACTGGCTCCCCAGGAGAAATGTTTGCAGAGGTGGTCCAGCCTTTTTTCACCTCCCCCAAACCAGTGAGTGTTGAAGCTGTTGAGCAGCACAGAAAACACAAATGCATCTTCTGGAGCAAAACATGTTTAACAGGATCACAGGATCATTGAAGACAGAAAAGAATGAGATCACTGAGTCCAACCTGTGCCCAATCCCCAGCTTGTCAACCAGATCAGAGCACTGAGTGCCATGTCCTGTTGTTCCCTGGACACCTCAGAAGATGGGGACTCCAACACCATCCTGGGCAGCCCTTTTCAATGTTTAACAACCTTTTCAGTGAGGAAATACCTCCTGATATCCAGTCTGACCCTCATGTTCTGCTGTCCATCACCAAACCCTCGTCTTCCAGACTCACAGCACTGGGAATAGAAAGGAACACCCCCTACACAGATCTCCAGCTCCTCCAGAACCAAACTAAACCAGGATTTGTCTCACTTCCCTGACATCCACTAACTAAGCAGGCCAAACAACATAACTAATGTGACTGGCTCAAGAATCTGCAGCCACACTGAGGTCCTGGACATGCAGATGCTCCCTGATACTGCAAGTCTGGAATAATAAGCTGAATTTGATGCCAAGCAGCACTGGGAAACCCTGGGCACAGCTCTCAGACCCCACCAGGGTAAAGAATACAATCACATACCTGTTTATCACAGGCTGGCTCAGAGACTCCAGCACCAGGTTCCAGCTCATCCGACACTTACTGGTCCCAAGGATTTCTTGGATCACATCTGTAAGGTTTGGAAACAAAGCTTTAGGAACTGCATATTTCCACAGGTCAGTCTTCTCCTGGTGGGTGCTGAATCAAAGCTTATGATGGTGCTCTAAGGCTGGGACAGGAGGGAGTGCCAGGAAAGCATTCCTGGCTAGAAGGGCACATATGAACAGTGCTTTTTCATTCTCAAAGGACAGTGAGGGCCCTTTACACTACATCAAGGAGTTAAAAGTTCAGACTGCACTCAATGGATTAGGCAGCAGCTGCTCTAATGCCAAAGGTCCCCGTGTCAAACTTCAAGAGAGGGAAATCCAGTCCAGCTGGGCTCGGGATTTCAGGCCAGTGGAAAAGGCAGAGGCTTTGCATGGTGACTTTCCTCACCATGGCACCCTCTGGCAGCAGGTGGGAGCAGAGCTGTCCTGAGCCCTGCCCTGCAGCAGAACTGTGAGCACTGAATCATGGCCTGGCTACACACAGGAGTCGCCCAGACACGCATCCCTTCCCTCCGAGCTGGGCTGCTTCCCAAATCCTTACACAAACTATCCAGAACTGGAAAACTCCGGGTTTTGCTTGCAGGAAACCATCAGACCTCAAGGGTCACAAAGGTTCCCCAGTGCTTTGGCACGAGCAGCCTCCATCTCTGCATTGAACCACATTTCCAGAGATCCCAGTGCACTGGAGTGCTCCCCAGCCACTTTCCCATCCCAAGGGCAGCTGACAAATCTCCAGAACACTTACTGGGCAGGATCCCCATCAGGCTCTGCAGGGCCTGCTCTGCTGTTGCCTTCTTCTGCTCCTCTGTCCTGGGGGGTTTAGGCACTGCTGGTAAAACTCCTCCAGGCCAGATGGATTCCTGCAGCAACTGGAGGTACTGGACCCAGCGCTGGGTGCAGGTCAGGGTGACCATCTGCACTTCCAGCCACCTGCAGGAACAGGGAGAGAGAGAAAGGTCAGGAACAGTCTGGCTTGGAACCAAGTTGGGATATTTCCACCCATCAAGAGCCCTGGAGGGGTGAATCAACTTCCTTGGGTTTGTTAACATGGAGTTTTCATGTCTGTACACCCAAGATTTTCACAAGTATTTATTAGCTGAGTTTTCCATGCACCAAAAATGGGATATGTTTCTGGTGTTACAGACAAATGGGAAAAGCAAAGGCCATGAAAAGCCTCATCACCCTGCTAATCACAGGAGCCCAAGTGAATCGCTGGTTGTTAAAGGAAGCCCAGCTCAGGGATACATCTGGCCTGAAGCTCCTAAGTTGTCTCCAAGCACAATTTGAGACAGAGCTGGAGGAACTGGACTGGAAGGACGTGAGCCCTGTTCTGGCAGCCTCTGCTCCTCTCATCAGTCCCTCTGCTACCAGCACAGTCAAGGATGTCTTTCCTGGAGACTAAAACACACTGCAAGGATGACAAACCATGAATATCCTGCAGCCCTGCTGCCCAGTCCTGCTCCAACCTCTGATGGCAGGCAATGAAATAAGAGAATCCCCAAATGGTTTGATTTTGGGACCTGAAAGCTCATTTCATTCCACCCTGGACAGGGATACCTTCTACTAGACCAAGTTGCTCCAAACCCCATCCAATCTGGCTGTGGACACTTCCAAGGATGGGGCAGCCACAGCTTCTCCAGGTACCCTGTGCCAAGGTCTCCCCACCCTCACAGCCAAGAAGGATTTTGCTCCCATCCAAAATCCAACTGAAGTGCTGATGGTCCCTCCTGCTGGGGCAGGACTGTGCCCTTTCTACAGTAACCACCTGCAAATCCCCAAATCCCTGCTCCACAAAAGGGCTTGGAGGTGTTTGCAGCTGCACTGGAATGTTGTGTCCCTACCACTCAAGGGCTGGCCAGGCAGTTCCTGAACCATGAACCATCCTGTGGGATTCATCCATGGCCTCTCCTGACTCTGAGGGGAAAGATTTCAGGCAGTGCAAGTCCTGACTGATGGCTGTGGCTCGTGC